CACAGTAGCCTCAGGATCAAGGATTCACACCAGCCATGATGCCAGTGTAAAACACATCCTAACTATTTTCTTTCTGGCCGTTCTCCAGCTCCATGGTGATCCGTGACCTCACCTTGCGCAGCGCTGCCAGCTTTGGTTCCTTCCACCTGATTCGCCTGCTGTATGATGAATACATGTTTTATCTGGTGGAGCATCGTGTTGCCCAGGCAACAGGGGAGACGCCAATCGCTGTAATGGGAGAGGTGAGAATTGTTTATTCCCCTAGAAACAAGCCCAAACCAAGCAGCGTGTAAAGGAGAGCCGTTGGTTCACAAACAGCACTCTGCCCTGAACATGTTTTACAACCATCTTTGCTGAGAGATTTACTGACTTGTTTTGAGTGCCTGGCACAAGGATCCAGCTACCTGAGCATCTTCCCTCCTGTCTCACTGATACTGGGCTGATGGTTTTGGGGCAGTTGGGCATCAGTTGGGCTTCAGAGTCCTGGACGAGGAAGGAAATAGACCTACTAACTTCTCTCCATAATCTGATTTTGGTATTCCTGCCATAGCCCCATCCAACACAAAAAGTAAGCCAAAACCAAAATCTCCAGAAGTTATTTTTCCTGCAATTTCCAGTGGTTCTGTGCACATCACTTGTGCAAACCCCAGAGCTGTCTGTACAGTCAGCCACCCTCTCCATTTTTTCTGTGGAAAAATGATGAGAGGCTTTTTTTTCAGTTTTGTGGGTTTTTTAACTACAAATCAGACAGCAAACGTAGTGCCTGGCTTGCAAACAGGACCCGTCCTGCCTAGCTGAAGCCACTTCCAACATTTCATTCTGACATGCCCAAATTTGGAAGGTTCCAGTCAACCTGTGAAAGCAATATAGAAACTGTTAGATTAAAACTGATGCTATTTGCTCCATGAAGCTCATGCTATTTTCCTCCTTCTGTGGAGCTCATGTAGGGCAGTCAGACAAATCAGTCACATCCATTTTGCTTTCTCTTCCCCTCCCATTAGACCCATGCTGCTGCATCATGACAGCAGCGTTGTGAATGCACACTATTCCCTGAAACCTCTGTATTTATTGATATTAGAAGAACATGAAAGAGAGAGGGGACCTTCCAGCAAAACCTAGCTGTGGGAGGCTTTCATCCTTTAGGTTTTGCTTTTCCTTCGTTACACTCTTGCAATATTTCTTTTCTCCAGGAGGAGGCTGATTCTTCCCAGCAAAAGCCAGTGAATTGTGTCCATCTATTCCCACTGCTCACTTTATAACTCCTGCTGTCTTCAATTCTTTCTGCTGCCCACCTTTCTATGACCTTTCAGAATTAGGATTATAGTTTTTCAGAGTTTCAGACCCTGTCACAGATGGAGACAATACATCTCCAGAACCAAAGTTGTCACCAGCTCACTGGTTACACTTGGCACTATGGCCTTGAAAGCCAAAGCACTTTCCTGACCTGAACTAAAGGGTAGAGAGTGTGCAGAGGTGGAATGTTGGTAGAGCCCAGCAGGGGTGAAAGCATGTCTGTGCTGCCTGACAGAGGCAGAAGGCTGGAGAACAGGAACCATTTCTGCTGTCCTTCTCCACTGTCTGGATGAGAGGCAGCACCCTGGCCAGGAGTCTGCGGCAGCAATTGAGAGACAGAACATCTTCTCTTGCCCTTCTCCAGACCTTGATCCTTCCCTGGCTTTTTGTGTTTTGTATTTTTGCAGAGGTTTAGATGGAAGTGACAAACTTTTCCACAAAATGTGTGGTCAGTTTTGTGTTCTGCTTTTTACCACTGGTGCTGCTGGTGCTCATGGCTTCATCCAACTGCTTGTTAGAATTACTTGGAGACAGATGCTGGCTTGCAGGTGTGATGCTTTGGCTCTCCATAATCCTCACTCACCTCAAGCCTCCTTTCTCTTTCAGTTTGGTGACCTCACATCCATGTCCCCAACACTGCTGGACAAAGGTATGAAAGCTCTGTGGGGCCGGGATTGAATCACTGCGGGTGGGAGAACCTCGTGCCGGCCTTTCCGTTTCACTCTGGTGGAGAAAAGGACCTCTTACCCCAGGGACCAGCCTGATGCTGAGCCTTTCCCTTTGCAGACCCCATCAGTGAGCTGGGCAGCGAAGTGGACACGGATTCCCGGAGCGCGGGGGAGCCGCTCGTGAAGCGAGAACGCAGCGACACGGGGCACTCACTGCAGGAGATCTGACAGGGGGATGTGGCTGTTCTCCAGCTGGATGGAGACATCTGGAGCCAGGTTTGGCAGCCTCGAGCCTGAGTCTCCCCACGTCTGTACTATTAGTGCCTCTTAGTTTCTCTCTCTGTTTACCGCTGTTTGAGGAAGGGCTGCGGGCGGTGAGCCCGGATGGGGGGCAGAAGGAGGCTCTGCCTGCACCCAGCTCTCTGCCAGCAGCTGAGTAGAGGGTGAAGGACAAAGTCTGCTGAAGGGAGGTTGAAGCATCTGACTGTGCCTGGCAGGAGAGGCTGTGCCCCACTGAACGATGGGGCAAAGGAGGCTTTCTCTTTCAGGGAAGGTAATTTGGATTTTTTCCCCACTTCTCAGACTTCACTGTGATACAGACTTGAACCAATCAGTGCCCAAGAGGAAGGAAAAATGCCTGACCCTTCTCCTACAGCCTTTTAAGATGCACTGTCCTGGCTCTGACTTTGCCAAATCATTTGTGCTGGGCTGTGGTACTGTGCACCTCTTGAACCTGTCTGGGGCTGCGCTCCGAGCCGGTCCCCCCAAGTGGCACACATACATGCCCTGGGACTTGGGATGAGCCCTCCCTGCTGCCCTCACATCCTGCCAGCCACGTGTTCCATCTGCAAGCCATCCTGGGATGCTGTCAAACCGACCCAAGATACCAAAGGACTCCGAGGACGCAACAGCTGGACTCCAAGCTGGCTCTGATGCCCATGTCTGCGGGGTGGGATGTTCCCGTCCTCTCCAGGGTACCCACACAGAGGGCTTGATCTCACACCCTGTGTTCCAGCAGGTTCTGTAGAATTCCAGCTCTACGTCCTGCAAAAACACCGCCGTGGCCCTACACAGGGTGCATCCAGAGCATGGGGGAGGGTGTGCGACCGCAGTGCCTTAGGGCAGGCTGGCAGACCTGCTTCTCCACTCCTGCTCCAACCCCGGCCCTGCAGCAGCGAGGGGCTCCCTGTGGCCGTGGCTGGCATCACGCTCAGCACTGCGGGGACGTTTCCCTGCTGTGCCATCGCTGTGGGGCTGAGCCAAGGCAGCTCTGCGCGGCTGCAGGCAGTGGGGGGTCTGTTGTCAAGCCAACTGCAAAAAGCAAACCCCGAGGCAAATCTTTCTGTGAATAAAGGCTGTGTCATAAATAGCTTTTATTATAATTATTTCTAATGATGTTTTATATGGTATGTTTGATGTGAGCTTTTCCAGGGGCCTCGTGTACATTTGCATATCAGAGTATATTCTATCCAAATATAATATTTACTCATTCAGAGTGTGGTACTAAGGTAGCTGTGACACTTTAAAAGAAATGGAAAGTAAAAAGAAAGCGTGTACAGTGTACATCTTTCCCTCTTACTCTTCCGTGCTGGTGTCTGTCAGAGTGGTGTCTGTCTGTTAATGTCTCCTATCACAGTAGGAAGAGACAAATGAGAAGGCTGGATTTATGTGTAAATAATGACAGTGATTACTCCCTGGGTCAGCATAGCCCCTCACATCCTGCTAATATGAGATGATGGTCAAAAAACAACCGAGCAACCAAGTCTTAAATTCCCCTGCTCCCACAGAGTGTGATGCTAACTTCAGCTGCTGCATTGGCTCTCTGGACCAGACCCAACCACCTCCTGCTCCCCACGGCCAGCTGAGATGCTCTGGAGCTGTGCAGCACCAAGAGACGAATCTGGATCACCCCCTCAAGTCCACATGCACAAAATTCCCAGCTAACCCCGAATAGCAATAAATGTATATCAAATGCTCAGGCCTGCACCATAGTTGTTGTGGTCCCATTTCTTTAATCGTTGAGAGGAGGTGGCAGATTTGCAGGGCTGGGGGGGGAGATGCAAATCTGTCCCTGGGGGGGAGAAGGGGGTGGACACCAGACGAAGCACCGCAGGGAACCCCAGCGACTGGGACGTCCCAGAGGTGGTTTGGCATGGCTGCTCCCCGTGACTCGTGGCAGGAGGGCAGGGTTTGGGCTGGCAGTGAGGCACAGTCTGAGCATTCACACTGGCTTCTCTTCTCTTCCCATCCCACAGCCATCAGCTGAACCCCATGGGCTGAAGGTCATCTTTTGTCCCCACAAAAGATGGGCAGCCCCCACCAAGGGCTTAAGCCATAGGGTATTTCATCCCCATTCTCCTCCCTTGTCCCTCACTGAGGCCATGGGCCGTCTGCCCCCCAGTGTCCCCCCCCCGGCGGGTCCCTGCCCTGAGCTTTTCCTCTTTTTTTAGGACTCTTGTTTTCTCCCATCAGGATGTGGGCGTGCAGGATTAAGGGCTTTGCTGTCACCCTGACAGCACGAGGAGATGAAATGCTGCCTGCCACCAAAGCTTCCTGATGTGAATGTCACTGCCCCTGTGCAAGGCAGGGAAACTGAGGCAGAGATGCCCCTGGCAGCAACATCCTGCAGCCTGGCCCAGCCCAGCACCTGCAGCCAGGGCTCAGCTGGGGCTGCTTAACCCACTGATTCGCTCCAGCTGGAGCTGGTGGGGCTTGGGGCAGGGCTCAGCACTGGGCCCCTTCTGGGCTCTTATAAACCAGCAGCCTGAGAGCCCTTAAGGCTTTTTCTCCCTTTTTCATTTCCCCCTTACTTTCAGGAGCCTTAGTTTGGAGGTGGGCGGGTTGGGCTCTGCTCCCTGCAGCTCTAGGATGTAGTGCCAGGATTTCCCACGCTTCCCAGTGCTGCCACACAGGTAAGGGCACAGCCTCTGCTCTCCCATCCCTGTTCTGGGGCTGCTGCTGGGAGCTGGGCTCTGCTCTGGGGCTGCTGGAGCCTCCCAGCACAGCCCTTGTCCCACACGATGTCCCAGATGAAGGATCATGGCATCGCGTAGCTCCGTGGTGGCCCTGGGGCTCAGTTCCCAGCCCAGCTGCAGCACCCCACTGTCTGTGCAAAGAAATTCCTTCCCTGGGCTGCACCTCCCTTCGCAGAGCTGCCTGCTCAGCCAAGACAGCTTCTTCAGGAGCTCCAACAGGTACGTGGCTGTGCGTGGGGCTGAGCGCTTGTCTTGCTTTGCGCCCATCTCTGAGCCCCTATAGCCAGGTCACACCAACCTGGGGCTCACGGCATCTCTCCCCCCACCCCTCTGCTATTGGGGCTGGGCAGCCCTGCACATCTGAAGGCTGCTGACTCATTCCTGCGTCCCTGCTGCTCTCCCAGGAGTTTCTGTGGTACGAGTGATGCTGTGGGTTCAGAACTGTTCGACTGCAGCTACTCCATCCCTGACCCGCAGCTGATCCGCAGGATTGTGTCCCAGGTGGAGTTCTACCTCTCTGATGAGAATCTGGCCAAGGATGCCTTCCTCCTGAAGCACGTCCAGAAGAACAAGTTGGGCTTTGTCAGCATCAAACTGCTGACATCCTTCAAGAAGGTGGGAGGATTTGGTGCCTGCTGGGCAGAAGAGGGCTTCTGTGGGGTGGGTGAAGCAGGGAAGGGAGGCCTGTGTGGGGAGGTGTGGGTCGGAGTCACAGAATGGTTTGAGTTGGAAGAGACTCTTAAAGGCTGCCTGGTCCCACTCTCCTATGGTGAACGGAGACACCCACAGCTCTGCCAGGTGCTCAGAGCCCCATCGTCTGATCTTGAATATATCTAGGGATAGGACACCCACCCACCTCTCTGCTCTTCCAGCCCTTGGATTGTTTTTGTGACCCTCCTCTGGATGCATCCCAACAGCTCCATCCTTTTGTCCCCCACCTTGTCCTAACACTGGGGGGGGGGGTTGAAAACCTTGCACTTGGCTTTGTTGTCTCTCATGTGGTTTCCCTGGCCCCACTGCTCAGCCTGTCCAGGTCTCTCTGGATGCCATCTCATCCCTCAGGGGTGTCACAGCACCACACAGCTCTGTGCCATCCAATGGTCATCTCCATGGTCTTTAGGGGCTTTCTCCTGCAGACCCCAATGAAGTTCAGGTGAACACTGTGCTGCTGTTGGAGCATCCAGAGGAGGGTCACAAAACTGATCCCCAGGATGGAAGACCAGCGAGGTGGCTGCATCCCTCGGAGACCACCGAGGTGAGGCAACAATGCTCCGAGCACCTGATGGAGATGGAGGGCCCTAAGGAGGGATGGGAGCCTTGCCCAAGTTGGCTCACTGCAGCGAGTTGAACCAGATGGTCTTCAAAGGTCCCTTCCGACTCAATGATCCCACGACTGCCTTGAGGTGAGGCTGTGCCTGCACGATGGCTCTGGGCAGCAGCTCAGTGTCCCTCTCCCCATAGGTGAAGTACCTCACCCGAGACTGGCGCCTCACGCTCTACGCCCTGCGCTTCTCCGAGCTGCTGGAAGTCAACCAGGAGGGCACCAAAGTGCGGCGTCGCATCCCCATCCCTGACTCCATCCTCAACGTCCCTCCCACCAAACTCCTGCTGGCCTGGGACCCGCTGCCCCCAGAGCCGGGCACGCCTCCGCCGCTGCAGAGGAACTTCATCGAAACCATCACGCAGATGTTCAGCCCCTTTGGAGCCATCGCCTCCATCCGCATCCTCCGACCGGGCCGTAAGCTGCCCTCGGACATGAGGAAATACGCAGCGCGTTTCCCTGAGCTGCTGAGCCACTGCTGTGCGCTGGTGGAGTACGAGAGCCTGGAGAGCGCGCGCAGGGCCTGCGAGGAGCTGGGCCAGCCCTGCTCCCGTGGCATCTGTGTGGTGAGGCTCTCGGGGAAGGGATCCAAGAAGAGGAGCGGGGCTGAGCAGGAGGAGCTGGTGGAGGCGCGAGCCGAAGCCTTTCCCTGCGCTGTTGGGGATTCGCTGTTCTGCAGCTCCTCGGAGTCGGATGTGGCCTCACCGCAGCTCCTCTCGGCACACGCTTGGCCCCATGGCCACAGCTTCCAGCCCAGCTCCTTCAGCAGCACCTTCTCTGGGTCGCTCCTGGCCAGCATGGCCTTCCCTCCGCTCACTGCAGAGCTGGGTTTCAGCCTCAGTGCCACCCCCAAGAGCCCCGATTTGGGCTGGGGGAGCACGTGGGCCCCGTGGCACAGCAGCAATGCCCACAGCCCCTCTGTGGATGCCACCTCCCCTCCCAGAGCCCCCCTGGCTGTGAAGCCCAAATCCTGTGTGCTGCGCCTGCCCCACGGGCCCGATGGCACCAAAGGCTTCTACAACAGCATTGGGAGAGGGAAGTTTGTCCTCGAGCACTAAGGCTCCTTTACGTTTGGGTTATGGGATTTTTTTTTAAATTATTTTTTATTTTCTTTTTCTTTTTTTTTCTTGAGCAGAACATCTCTTTGTGGCCCATAGAGGCACCGCCGCTGCGTGTGGTTCTGTTTTGGAGTGAGGATGCTCAGGGAAGGGTGGCATCCAAAGCTTTTCCCAATGCCTGAGCCATCCTCACTGCCCGTGTTGGGGTCTGTGCTCAGGTGATGGTCACTGGTTCTGCCCCATTGCTCCCCCACGCCCTGGGGCTGCTGATGGGGAAACCCAGAGCTTGAGCGTGGCGGAATGGTGGCACCATGGCCTGAAGGTGCTGTGTTGGCTGCACTGGTATGAAGTTGAGGAGCTCAGATGTGGAATGCTCAATAAAGACAGGTGACATTTCCAGGCACTTTCTGGCTATGAGAGTGACGTTATTTTTCCTCTAGTATTATGGCTTTATGTTGGGCAGATGAGGGGAGTGGGGGTACTGTCCCACCAGCAGCTTCCTCCCTTACTCCCCTCTGGGTTATTTGGGGTCATTTTGCTGCAGCAGGGAGGGCAAGCCAGGCTCTGGAGTGGGTGCTTAAGATGGGTGTAAATAAGGGCTTCACTACTCAGACCCTGTTGTCATGTCTGTTTGTCCCCCTCTTTGGACCTCCCTGTCCGCCCTGCCCCCCC